GAGCATGTGAGTTAAAGTTGGAAGATAATTTTAATGTGAAAAGAAAAGTAAGTGGTTCAGCAATTCCAAGGGAAGCAAATCCATCTGCCCAGACGATGGCTTTCCCAGCCACATTCAGAAATGCAGAAACATCTGCCTTTCACTTAGTTTGCAAAGCACATCCATGTACTTGTGAGTTGATTCTCAGTCTTCAAAGATTGAGTTGCCCTTCATCTGTACAGCTGGATGGTAGCAGATACTGCTTTCCTGATTCCAGTCACTCTTTCAAAAAATTTCTGTGCACAGGAATGAAAATATGCTCTAGGAAGTCTCTCCCCTACCCTCAAGGAAAAACCCCATGGATTAGCTCTGGCTCCAGTGCCTTCTCAACAGCTGAGCACAAAGTTTGTCCCTTGACCTATTGGTTCTTGGCCTTGGAGCAAGAGGACCAAACCTTTTCTTTCGGGAGGATGGGGTGGAGTGGGAGAGGGGGGGAAAACATTGCTGCTGGGAACTCAGCAAAGCACGATGAGAGCTGCAGCAATGTAGATAGATGATAAGAGAGTGTCTCCCGGTGATTTGCCCTGATGACGCCAGGAAGTGTGAATACATTGTTCTCGCCAACAGCATGATGTCAGCAAATAAATCATATTTGAAATTTCTCTTCAACTTGCTGAGCAGGTCCCTGGTCAACATGGAGACCCCCGTGTACCCCGCAGTGGTCCGATAACTTCTGCAGCATAACGATGACATTTAGAAGAGGTTTCAGTTGCGTTCGGTACAGGTTCTTGCCAATTGTGTGCCTGGAAACCGTGTCATAAAATGCATTTACCATTAAGTGCATTGGGTTTTCTTGGAGAGCAAATGGTGGCAACATTACTGGGCATCAAATAAGTCCAGATTTACCCAGCAGTACATCATGAATGTCGAAAACAAAATAATGGAACCTTTTGAAATAGTAAAATTATGTTTCCTTGCCTGCCAAATGTGCTGTGTCTGTTGGTTAAACACATGTTCTTAATGTCCTATTAACATTATAGTGAGAGATGTGAAGTCCCATGTTCACAATAAAAACGAATGCCCCAGACACAATGGGGAATGATTGGCTGGGCAGCAGTTTATGTAAAAAAAAAAAGAAAGAAAGAAAGAAAGAAACCGGTAAGGACTCAGGTTGGTAAATGAGCAGTTCCGTCAGCCACCAGGCTCCAGGAGGCCCTCGTGAGTTAGCTGTTCCATGTCATGTCTGGTATAGTAAGAGATGCACATGTGTCACAAAGCTGCAATTCCACTTCCTGGCAACATAAGACCCTGAATTCCGGGACCACTCATGTGTGCTCAAGAATGCGTGTGGCCGTAAATGTCTTGAACCCGGACGTGAATACATACCTGGAGGAATGTTCATATAATGAATTAAAATGAATAAAATAAATCTACATAAATAAATCTTAATGAAAGAGTGAAAAAAGCAAGTTGCAAAAGGATATGGACAGTACAATACCATTTGTATACTTTTTTAAAAAAACATTCATAAAACAAATAATAAAAGCATAAAAAAACATAGATGGTAGAAATTTTTAATCAACTTCAGGGGAGAGGGATGGGAAATAAGGAAGGCTTCAGTTGTATTGGAAATATTTCATTTTATTCTTTTATAAAAAAGCATGAAATGTAAATACAGCAAGACTATTAACCTCTGTTAATGGGTATGCGTTGTATTATTTTCCACATTTTTACTGTATGGTTGAAATGTTTCATAACTTTAAAAGAAAAGTATTTTAAGCCCATAAGCATGGTTAACTAAATTTTAAATAGTTTAAGCTTCCTCTAAATTTAATTTTAAATATATATTATAAAAGTAATACATTCTATTAAATAAATTTTAGGAAATTAGGAAAAATAAATTACTCAGAATCTCATTACCGCAAAACAGTCATTGTTAATGTTTTGGTATATTTCCTTCCATTTTTTTTTCTTCATGTGGGTGTGTGTGTGTTTAAACATAGTTGTAAGCATCTTGAATACACATATTGGATTCTGCCTTTTTCACTCATAACATCACCCTTTTTCCATGTTAGATTTAGCCTCCACGAGCATCACTTCTATTGACTTCCGTGAAAGATCTTCCACAGCTTGCTTAACCAACACCATTTTTGCGTAAAAACAGTTGTGAACATTTAACAGTCACTTATTCGTAAACAGAATCCTTTTGAAAGCTTGAGGAACAGGATCAGGTCATGCTCGGCTGTTGATTTCTGCAAGGCTGTCTTGTGGGGGATGACAGTAAAAAGGTCTGTCACATCTGTGATATCGCATTCCCGCGAAGACTGAGCTTGTCGGCATTCATCCCGTGGGTAGGAACTGTACATATTTTAAAAGCCAGCTCTGTGCGTCTCTTGCCTGAGAGGAAAACAAGTGCTCGAAACTGCAGCTGGGAGAGTGTTTGCTGATCTCATTAAACTCTTGTTTTGAGGCCTGGGTAACAGCAGAAATAATTCCAGATATTTCTGTGCCCCTTCCCAGCTTGTAGATGCTCACGTCCATTGCCACATAATCCTCTCTGTGCCCCGGAGAGGCGAGGTGCAGAGCAGGCACGGAACTGTCCCTGGCTTGCAACAGTAAGTGGGAAAGTCAGCACCACTGTCTGATGCTCCTGACTCCTTCCAGGGCCTTTTCAGTGACCATCCTGAGACACAGGCTAGAGGGGTGATGTCTGCCCAGAGGCTAATTTCCCATGCCGAGACCACACTGTGGTCCAACAAATGGCCTGAACACTTCCAGGGCCTACACAAGCCTGATTCTGTGACCAGCGTGTGCACACCTAGACTCATTGGCAGAATTTTGCAGGGACTGAACAGAGCTTAGATCTGAGGGCTGCAGGATGTATCCAGGGTCAGGAGGTGTGGGCTGGGGGCAGCTGCAGAGGCTGAAGGCCAGCATCCCCTGCAATGTAGCTCAGAACTGCTCGGCCTCCAAGAATTCTAAATTCAAATCTGGCCTCATTGGTCATTATGATCATATGTTTGTCAGAGTAGGAGGACAGACTGTAACAGTTTGTAGCTTAATCTGTAATTTTTAACTATTTAGAGATTCAGCACGTGGACTTCCTTTTCTACTCTGGTTCTGAGACCCACAGATATTAAGAACAATCTCAGCTCTCTTATCACACTGCTGTTTCCAGGTTCCCTTTTTTCTCTCTAATACCACAGGGCGTACAAAGGAAAGCAATCTAGAACCACAGAAAAATAAAATAATTTAGTGTGTAAAATCCCAATCTACCAGACACCCCCATGTCCATATGTAATAGCAAGAAATGCATTTCAGGACAAAATACGTAGAGTACAACCACCTGCCGTGAGGATGAATCAGCCTGGCACAATCCAGCCAAATCAGAAATAGAAGGCAGCTAGTAAAGCTACAGTCTGCGGCTCTTCCCCGGCTCTCCCTTTCTCCGCCTCCCCCACCACGGTTCCTGCATGGGTAGTGCAGAACTGCCACCCTCTGTTGGTAGCTTTAAGCTATGCAAGAAGTCAGACTCTGGGGTTTCCCATGACGACATGGGGAGTAGTCTCAGTGGCCCAACCAGGGTCAGCATTAGAATCAGTGTTGCAAGAATTCACATTTTAATTGTTGTTTGATTTTTTAAAATTCTTTAGTTCTTATTCCCCGGCAATATTTCTGATGTGCGATCAAGGATTTAACTGAATAGAGAAGCAAGAAATCATTAAGAAAATTTCGTTGTGCTGTTTTTCTGTCCCACAGAAAACAGACAAATGGCTAAGTTCTGAATGATTAAATATACACATTAAGACAAGACTTTCCGAAGTCCACTCCCTAAGTCCACTCTATAAGTGATAGTTCATTTGACTTTCACAACCATCCAGCAAAGGAAGCTATTCCAATTGTGTAGGTAAAGAATCTGCATCTCAGAGACGTTAAGTCACCTGGCTAAGGTTATCCAGCTGGGAAGAGGCATAGCAAGGAGTCAAACTTGGCACTGATTCCAAATCACTGAAAGACCCAAATAGGACAGGTTTTGTCCAAACTTTTACTCACCAGAAAAGGAGAGTTACCTTATACCAGAGTCTTCACAAAGTCTCTCATATTATGGGATCCCATCTCACTTACTATAATTTTAATAAAGTTTTGTTTGGGAACAGCACGTTAGCCTGGAATGGGCTTTGGTCAGTGCTGGTTTTGGAAGCTCATGGAGGTCGCCTGACCAAACTGGTTTAAAAAAGGAGGGAGGAGAGGATCTTTAATACAGATTTGGTCATTATTCCTAGGAGTATGCTTTGTGATTGATCACAAGAGAAGCTTTTTAAAGATTTCTTTTCAAGTGGTATCTTGTAGAGAGAGTAGATAGGGTAAATTTCACTGACAGATCATACAGGGATCTAAAAAGTGCTCTATCTCAAACAAGGTAGATGGAAATGAAGTTCATGTGCTTGGAAAAACTGAAGACAAAGACTTTGATGTTGAAGACATGTATGAAAATTTTGAATAGAATTATTTCATGAACTCTGAGAGAATAAAACAAAACAATATAGCCAAATCGATATTTTATTCATTGTGGTTTAAATATATGTGTGTAACTAAATAAATATGATAAGTAGACATTCGATCATGGTTAATGTCATATGTAAATATTTGATTGTGCCGTCTATATATTCAGGTTGGCCAAAAATCATGTGCATGTGGGGGGAGATCTTCTCATTGGGAAATAGGGGTTGGATAATATGCTTAGTGGTTTTTCCAAAGTGCAGAGCTGCAACCCAAGGAGAGGAGGAAACAAGTTTGCGTGCCGGATCCCCAGTAGTGATAGTTACACCCCGGCTCCTGCACCTCCAGAAAGCTCCTACAGTTTCCCAAACATTGCTGCATTTGGGCCTCAGCCTCTCGTGAGGTAGAGTCTGTGGTGGTCCTGAATGTCTACCCAAGGACCCCATGTCTCCCCATGTCAGAGACTTGGGCATGGGAAGAGGTGTGATGAGACTGCTTTTCTGTCTCCCCAGGCAGCCCTAGTTGGAGGGACCACCATGATCATCGGCCACGTCCTGCCTGACAAGGAGACCTCCCTTGTGGATGCCTATGAGAAGTGCCGGGGTCTAGCTGACCCCAAGGTCTGCTGTGACTACGCCCTCCACGTGGGGATCACCTGGTGGGCACCCAAGGTAACCATGGAATCTTAAAAGAAAAACAAATGCTCTTTTAGGCAGAGGGGCCATTTGGTGGCAGCCAGCTCGGGTGTGGTGTTCTCTCGCAGGCGGGGGACACCTCTCCCACCACCATTCTAACCCCACCAAAAGCAAAAGAAAATAAACTCGTGATTCTACAAGGGGGTGCGTGGACCTGTCCTGCCTAATTTAAAGAGCCAGCTTTCCAACAGATACAAAGTTTACAACAGGAGACCTCCGGACTGGCTCCTCACTCTGACCCCAAGACTTTCAGAGTCTCCAAATGCTTAATATTAAAATGCCTCTGACACCAATGGGGATGCTGCTGAGTGATGGGCTCAGCAAGGGTCAGGCTCTGAGGGTCGTATCATTTTTGTGCTGGGAGTGACAGCACTGAGCTGAGGTCTCAGAACAGAGGGTCCTGTCCTGGCTTGGTGCTGCCTGGTTAAAATGGACTGGGGCACTTCCTTCCTACTGGAGCCCAGCTTCTGCTCCGAGAGCCCTGAGGCTGCTCCTGGTGTATGGCCTAAGCTGGCTCCCGCTGAGCCCTTTCTCAGCTCAGCCCAGGCCCCTGGCCCCTGGCTTTCCTGCCACAGGCCGCAGGGCCAGAGTCCAGTCCCCTCTTCCCACATTCCCACTTCTTGCTCTTCCTGAAAATAGATAGACAGGCAAGTAGATTTTGCTTTGTTTCTGGGGTTTTACTGCTTATTACCCCCAGGGAAGCAACCTGGATATTCATTCTTTCATTGATTATTTATTCATCGCCACGTGTCAATTCTTGGGTGGATGCCCCGGAGTCATAAAAATAAATAAGCATTAAGAAGTTTTACGAAATTCTTCAGCTGTGGACCCTGGTCCGAAGGGCCTGGCTCCCTTCTGAGAGGGTCATTCACAGCCTCACTGTATTTCTGTCCTCGGGTCCCTTCCGTGATTTCAACCTGGTGCTTATGAAAGGCCTCGGAGGCCCCCCCAAGCCTCACACCATGAAGACCTCCCTCCTTATACCAGGCTTAGGGTACAGACCACACTGAATGACAGCCATTCCTTTTCTCATACGGGAGTTTTGTCCGTTTCAGACATTCTCCTGGATGGGCGACCCCTACACCCAAGCCTTTCTCCGTTTCCCCTCCCAGGGCTGGCCCGGATTAGACGGCCCCATCAGATTCTCAGCACACTGAGGTCAGGCCAGACATGCCTACGCCCCCAGAGGTTGCGGGGATTTTCATGCATCTAAGAATTTTACATTTGTTCTCTAATAATCAAATAAATTTTTTCTAACTCCAGATTTTAAAAATAGAAAAGAAAGGAAGCCCATAATCTGGCCACTGCAACACAATCACTGTTGTTTTAGCTCATTTCCTTCTTTTTACATGTGCTTTTTACACAGTAACTCTTGCTTACGTGTGAGTGTTTCTATTTGGCTGCATGGCCTTCGTGACCATCAGTGCAATGGCCATCTGACGTTTTGTCAGGTTGATGAACCTCGATTTATTTTCTTATCATCAGACCAACGTTGCTTCCATTTTTCCTTAATATAAATAACGTTAGGAGGAGTCTCCTTATTCACATAGATTTGTTTATATTCTGCTTAGTTCCTAAATTAGATTTTCCCCAGAGTATCTAGATTTTTATCATTATTGTGCCTCCCTTGGAACACCACTCCCATGATGAGGTCGGGGGAACAGACCACAGGGTCTCTTCCGTGCCGGGCCAGCAGCTGCCGGTCAGCCTCTTGAACATCTGTACCCGTGTGGCATTGCCTTTGCATTTTGCTTTCCAGGTGAAAGCAGAAATGGAGACACTGGTGAGAGAGAAGGGTGTCAACTCGTTCCAGATGTTCATGACCTACAAGGACTTGTATATGCTTCGGGACAGTGAGCTGTACCAAGTGTTGCACGCTTGCAAAGACATTGGGGCAATCGCCCGAGTCCACGCTGAAAATGGGGAGCTCGTGGCGGAGGCAAGGCAGTGGAGAATGTTGGGGGAGAGGGGCTGGGGTCCCGGTAGAGAATTCTCAGGGGGATTCCTGACCGCCCATTACCTGTCCTACAAGGTTTCAGACAAAACAAGTTGTAAAAGAAAGTTTAATGTAAAAGAATGTTTAATGTTTAATACCCCAGATGAAAAATCTTTGTCAGAAAAATCCAAACTTTTCTATTATCTGTAAAAAACGTCTATCTTTATAGTACAAAAAGGCTTCTAAGTCTTAGATGATGATGTCTTAATTCTAATGATAATGATATTTAAATTCCATGATAGCAAAGGGATTTAGAGCACCTCTAAGAAATATTTTAATGAGCTTTCCGGCAAGGAAATTATGACTTTCAGATCAATAAAGAGTGCTTGTCTTTGGTGTCCCCGGTCCCTTCACTAGCTACAAAACTGTATTTTTTAAGAGGAAAAGATTTTTCACTTATTATGAAGTGAGACTCAAGAGCCTTCCTAAAAGACAGCCCTGTAATTATCCTGCCTTCTTTAGAAGATGAATATTAAAGAAGTGAGGAAAGTAGCAAGCCTACTAGAATGGGCCGTGTCTAGCATATTTTACAGTCCCTTGGGTTCAGTGTTTTGTGTGTGTGTGTGTTTTGTTTTGTTTTTTTGTATCTCTATGATTCTCAATTTTCTTTATTTTGCTATTTTTCAGGGTGCTAAGGAGGCGCTAGATTTGGGTATCACAGGCCCAGAAGGCATCGAGATCAGTCGTCCAGAGGAGGTGAGGAAGACTTCCTGTGTGTCCTTTGTCAGCTTCTTTCCTGCAGATTCACAGAATCTTTAGGATAGAAGAGACATCGGTAAATATAAGTGCATGCTATCGCTTTCTCCGTGGGTGAAATTCCCACCCGGAATCTTCCTAGGGAACAGTTTCCTCCATGCTGAGGCTGACTTGGCCTTGAGCTTCCCTGGGAAAGGCAATTTTGGGGAAACCAGACCACCTCATTTGAGTCTGATTTCAAGGATCTGAGGGAAATAGTGAGCACACCAGGGGTTGCTTTACCCAAAACTGAATCAGGACAGAAAAGATAAACCAAAAGGTATGTTTCTTCAGATGTTAGGAGACGTTCCAGACTATAAGCCAGTGGCTCAGCGTTTGGGGATGAGACCCCTTTGAGCATCTGAGGAAGACTTCAGACCTTTCCCACCAAAAACCAGAGGCATCTACGTGTCCATCTCTTTCTCCCATGTTACCTTATTACTCACTGAGACAATAACTAAGAGCCCTGCTCTCCTTCTGCCCCCCGGTTTTATCCTTGCATAGTTTTGCAGGACATTGGTACAAATGGCCCTGAGTCCCCTGCTAAAGAACTCTGCTCTCGAGGGACCACATTAGACAGATGATGTAATCTTGCCCTGTGACCCTGTTCAGACATCCCCTGCCGTTTGTGAGGGGAAAGCTGTTTTCCATTTCTTCAAAACCTTAAATGCAGAATGGTGGCTGGGTGCCCATGAGGGATTGATTGATGGGGAGGCCTTGAGGGATGCGGAGCCGGAAACAGTGTGTGATGGTACAGCCATCACCAGGAGCCGGGCTGGCCTGTAATGAGCCAGCCATGGTCCCACCTTACCTCTGCCCTGGGTCTGCCCCTGTCCGTCAGAGCTCTTGAATATAGCTCCTGTTATGGCACCTAAGAATTGGTGGAGAACGATGCACCAGATACAGCAAACAAAGTAAATGCTGTGCCTGTGAGAACAGGAGGAGGGTACAGGACTGCGCTTTGTCGAGTTGCATGAGGGGAAGAGCAAGGCTTTGACTCTAGCAGTAGAAATAGCAACAATTATCGCCGTCATCATCTGTTGGTTAAGAGTGGGAGGGTCCTGGGTCTAGGCCAGGGGAGATGTTGTTCCCCAAGAGACACTTAAAAACGTCTTGAGATAGTTTGGGTTATCTCACCTGAGGGGTGGGGTGCTACTGGCATCTAGTGGGTAGGGGTGAGGGATGCCGCTGACGATTCTACAATGCTCAGACAGCCTCCCACCACGAAGAACTATCCAACCCAAAATGTCAATAGTACTGAGCTTCAGAAACCCTAATCTAGGCTAATTTCCAGCTTGATATCAGTCAGCGTCTCTCCTTTGCTACAGTGACGAGGTGGCTGTGGAGAGAATACACCAGAAAACAGGGAGAGATGTGACTCCAGGTTTTCATTGGCTTTTGTTTTATTGCTTTTTAACCCTGAGAAGCATCGGGCAAAGATGTGCCCGCTGTACTAAGTCTTAGGGTTCTCTCAGGGTGAGCAGAGGCAGTTAGAGCTTGGTGCCCCTGCCCAGGGCTTGCCCCGAGCCAGCCCTGTGGGGACACTTGGCCCCATGTCGGATATTCCAACACCTTCTACAAGGTGGGCTGTCAGGCAGACATGGGCTTGCTCGGGGGAGATGGTGAAGCTTGTTTTCTTCCCGCTCTTTGTTTCTAACAGCTGGAAGCTGAAGCTACTCACCGAGTTATCACGATTGCAAATAGGGTAAGTAGACCCCAGCTCACCCTAATCCCAGTCTCGAATCTGGGATCAGAAGCCAACCTGCACAGAATCTCATTCTGCTCAGTGTGCTAGCATCATGCCTGGCTCACAGAACCCCCAAACTGTTTGCTGAATGAACATTGTCATGCCCACAAACTGGGTGGGGGTCCTCCTTGCTACCAGTTCTCCGTTCCACCCCCACTTAGCCTGGCTTCAGTGCTCAAATAGAAAAGTCTCCCAAAGGAGGCAGGGCAAGGTGGGGCACCACTGAGCCTCACTATAGCTGGAATCTGCATCTTGTAGGGGAATAGTAGACACCGTGCTTGGAGACTTATGGTTTAAACCTCTGCCTCTGGGCCATTCATGGTTTTTCCTTGGTGTGATTCGGGGTAAATCCTTGTCCGGGTCAGGGGGCACTGATGCATGTGGCAGTGGGAATGAGCTAGAGATGTGGGGACTTTACCAAATACGAGCTTTTGATCATATGCAAGTCACTCACCTGCTCTGATACACTAGTTTATTACCTCCAGTTGGAGTGATAATATCACTCACTTCTCACAGGGCGGTTGTGAGAATCAAAGGAGTCATGGAAGAAGCACTTTATAAACGGCAGAGCCCTGTACGAAGGTCATTTCTTCCTCTGACTTTAAAGAGTTCGATTTGCTTAGATAATCTGAAGTACCTCTTCAGAACGCAGGTTTTCTAAGTGTGGTCCCTGAACCAGCAGCATTAGCATCGATTGTTAGAAATAGGAACATAGAAATGCAAATTCTTAGGCTCCACCAGACCTATTAAATCAGAAACAGAGTGATGCCCCCAGCAATCTGTCTTTTAACAGACCCACCAATGATTCTAAGGGCACTAACGCTTGAGAAGCTCCACTCTGGAAAGACCCGGGCTACCCCGAAGGACGTAGGCACGAAGGTGTGGTGTTAGGAAAACCGGAGAAAAACAGAGAGATTGAAGGTCCAGCTGGTCTCAGAATTAGTCAGTAAATTTGTGCCAAGCACGTCAAATGTCAGCTCCTGAACCCTCAGTCCTCCTAATTTGATAAGCAAGGAAGGCATCAGAAAAACAGTTGGGAACACAGTTTCCCACTAGCAGTGTATAAGTCTGGGGGCTGGACAAGGACATTGTTTTACTGTCATAAGAATTGTTGTGTTATCAATTACCTCCTGATGGAAACTCACCCCAGAAGAAGGAAGGATCTGAACAACAAAAGGGTAACTCCTGGTTTTTAGCTGCAACATATGCCCAGAGAAGTTAAGCCATAGAGCATGGCCACACAGCTCGGTAGAGGAAAAGCTAATCAGTATTACAATCCAGGTGTCCATTTGTAAGACCGGTCCTGTCTGGTGTAGACTCTGAACCCTGAACCCCCCTGTATTTTTTTTCTGTCTACAGATAAAGCAGCCCTCAGATGGCAGGTATCGTGATTTTAGATATGGGATATGATATACGACTATCTCTAAGTCATTATGTTCATGAACAGGAAATTAAAATAGTCCCTTGTTTTAAATTATAAATAGCCTTTTGTCAGTTGGTAGAAAATGCACACGAGGGTTAGCTGTTGACATCTTGCCCCTGTTGGGCTCTGGTGCCGGGTGCTGCTTGCCACCCCCTTGCTTCACACAGTTCCCCTGAAGCTTGTGTTTTGGCTGCCAGTCCTGAAAAGAGCGTCACCCTGTGGGTGGGGCCGAGCGACACAGAGAGAGGTGCTGGGGCCAGGCTCGATTTGGCCGGGGTTATGGTGGCGCATGTTGGGTTTAAGGGACTGATGCTCTCTCCTTGCTGCCACACTTCTGTGTTTAGACTCACTGTCCCATCTATCTGGTCAACGTGTCCAGCATCTCGGCCGGTGACGTTATTGCAGCTGCTAAGATGCAAGGTAAATCCGTGGGCTGGAATGGATGGGGCCGTGTGATGGGGTCGGAGCTCGAGGGGCCCACTAGCTCCTTGCGCACCTGGCCCTGGCTCCTGAGGCCCAGCCGTGAGCCTGCCCTTCCCCATCTCCTGTCCCCCTAGAAGCATACTGCACTAGCCCGGATTCAGTCCCTTAGAACCAGTGTTTTCCTCTGCACACTTGTATGCATAACAGCTTTACAAAAATGTCTGTCACCTCCTGGATTTGGCAAAATGTTTCAAGTTTTCAGTTGACCCATTAATTGAGATCTTTCTGGCCTCTTGGGTTTTACTAGTGGTTGCCTTGGTAACCAACACGAAATCCTGGACCAGTTCCAATGGACATTTCATTGGACTTCATGGGAAGTCCCTGGAGAAATAACAGTTTGTGGACCTAACTTCCCTTACAGCCACCTGGCACCCTATGTACAAGCCCTGGCACCTGTGTGTCTACTGCAGCTGAGCACCTGACAACACCTGCAGGCTTCGTACTTGATTGTAGTCCCAGCCTGGCTCAGGGTGCCAGTGAGATCCCAGTAACAGGAGAAACAAAGTCACGGTCACAAACCTGAGAATATAAATCAGGAGCAAGGGCTTCCAGCCTTCCCACCATACTGCCCTCTAGATCCTGCCTCTCCACTGGGGGAGCCCCTCAGGCACCTCACCTGCACTGTTGTCCCAGCCTCCTGACTGGATCTCACCTCCATCTCCCTGCCCTCCAGCCCCTGGTACAGATCTCACTCTCGGCAATTCTCCTAAAGGTGCTCACAGTACCTGCCTGCTCAGAAAACAGTCTAGCTGCCCACTTAGCATGGCATTCACAGCCCTCCATCCTCCCATCAACACCCTGCAGCACCATCCAAACCACGCTCCTTGATGTGCCACTTGGTGCTGCCCTGCCTCGGCGCCCTCGCCCTTCTGTTCTCCTCACCCGGAGTCAGCATGGGGATAGGGAGCCCTCTGGCCTTGAACCCCACCATGATCTCAAACACCCGAGTGAGCTTGGGCAAGTCCCTTCCTCTCTCTAACTTTATTTACCTCCATCGCCTATCAAATGAGAGGACTCTGGCCTTGAACCCAACCATGATCTCAAACACGCGAGTGAGCTTGGGCAAGTCCCTTCCTCTCTCAACTTTATTTACCTCCATCGCCTATCAAATGAGAGGCTCAGATCAGTGGTCTCTCGGGTTCACTGGCTTCCCAGTTATGGCTTCACCCTTCTTCTTCCAGGGAAAGTCGTGCTGGCCGAGACTACCACTGCCCATGCCACACTGACAGGCTTGCACTACTACCACCAGGACTGGTCCCACGCAGCCGCCTATGTCACGGTGCCTCCCCTGAGACTGGACACCAACACCTCAACCTACCTCATGAGCCTGCTGGCCAAGTAAGACATTTCAGCCAGGCCTGCCGGGGCCCCATGGCACATCATTAACTCATAACGCATGCCATTCCGTGAACTCGATGTAGAGGCCCTAAATCTTACCTAAGTTTTGATTTCTTTGTGCCGGAAGGATAATTTTGCTTTTGTTAACCTTCTTCAGAGCCCATCAGATAATTGTCATCCCATGGGGCCCCTATGACCACTTAATTTAGAATGAGAGCTTCTGTGGTGTACGAGTAAAGAGCATATATAAAACTGCGAACAGTGGTTATTCAGAATTTCAAAGGGCATTGATATCTTACACGAAAGCCTAGAGATACAGGATGTGGCATCTGACTTACCCTGCGCGGCCCTTTCTATCTCTTCTTTTTCTTTACCTCTCCGTCTTACTGGTTCCCGTGTGGTTTTCTCTGCTTGCGTGCACCTCTCTCCTTCCTTTCCCCTTCCTCTCCCCTTTTTCCTTTTTCCTCGGCACCTTCTCCCTCTTTCTCTTCGTGCTCTCCCTCCAGGCCTCCTTTTCTCTAGCTTCTCTTTTTCTAACACTGCTTGTTACCATTCGATCCAAATCTAAAGGAAATGGTTTAATGAACAGTCTGGATCTGGTGGGAAACAAACATGAAAAGATTTTGTTTTGTCCCAATAACTGCTTGCAACTTCTTTCTCTGCTCTAGTGACATTTCGGTTACAGGTCATTGCTTTCTCTTCCCTTTTGGCTGTCAAAGTCCAGTTCAGTTTAAAAGTCAGCCTGAGAAGCAGCAAGAACTAATGTAGGAGTACAGATGTGTACTCGGGTATGGAGAAGAATCACCCCACCCCTTTATTACTAATCTAACTGCCCCCCCATCCTTGAGTTGGGGGTAGGGAAGGAAAGAGACTAAAAGTAACTGGCTTTTGGGGCCCTCCTTGTGCAGGGCACATGTGTGATGTGGGCTCTCTGTGCCACCCTTGTATGGTCTCCTGATATAGGAAATGGAGTCCAGCTTGATCTCTTCTACCTGCTCCTTCCCAGCGTCCAAAACTAGCAGTGTCCTTGTGAGCAAGGACCTTGGTAAGGCAATTTAAACCTGGCCGCTTTCTGTAGTGTCTGGGGCCCAGAGGAAGCTCACACAGCTTTCAGCCCCAACTCTCGGCTGTCCTCACCCAGAGGCTCAGAGGCAGGCCCACTAGTCCACCTCCTAGGCAGATGCCCACAGCTATCATCTCTGCTCTCCACAAGTGAACTTTCTGAAATGTCCCCTCCGTGACTTTGGGGTAGACGGATACGGGGAGAGTGAAGAAGGAAGCGGGGAAGACTACAGGACTCTCCATTCTGACACTTACTTCAGTCTCCCCCGCTGTGTTCTGCTTTTACAAACCCAGGGAGTGGTGGATACGCCTCTTCTAGGGTGATGGTGAGGGAGTTGAGGGGAGTGACTAGCCCCAGCTGAAGGTGGCTGTCTTTAGATACTGGGGCACTTGTTTTATCCATGTCTTTAGTTTTCGGTCCTGGCTGCCAACTGGAAAATTCCTGCTCCGCGTCCTGCTGTGTTCACAACCTAAAGAACAGTGTGGATGCAGAGGCTTTCCAAATACAGGTGGAATGCAGTCAGTAGGGTCCCCGGGTGACTGTGGCCTCTGGAGGTAGAGGTGGCACAGTGGCAGTAATTATATTCTGTCCCATAGTTTTGCTGTGATACTGAGCAGCAGCAGTTTTTAAACAGATTTAAATAAATTGAGAGAGGAAGGATGAAGAGAAAAATGCTAGATCAGCTGTTACTCTTAAAAATGCTTTTCATTGGGAAAAAACTATTATTATCAACAGAACGAAAACAAATAAGTATCCACTATAATAATTTGGGCTTGCTTTCAAGGTCAAAGAATCGTTTGAAATACCTGCGCTTGCCACAAGCAAATTTACTGAAAGAACAAAAATGCTCCAACCCACCCAAATTACAGTGCCAAACCCACACAAATGCAAATAGGCAGGGGTGGGAGGGAGTATTATTAATTGAATAATTTAAGTTTTTTATATCTAGCCTATTTTGTCAAATTTGTTTAAATTATTTAAATAGAATTGTAATTTTATATGAAGTATTATGAGAATAGTTTGAATTCCTTTTTTAATGAGTGCATATGGTAAATATGTGCAGTTTTATAGAATTTGGAGCATAGTTTTAACATTTTAGTTATTTATGGAATTTATGATTACTGCAATTTTGCTTTTATGACACACTGTTGGTGGTGCTTGATAATATGCAAAACACTTGATAGAAAGCCCAGATGCCAATTATCATATTCCTGTAAGAAAACATAAGCTACTTCATAACGATCTACTTTAGGATATGATTTCTTAGGTTAGATCAGGGTAAAAAGCACAGTCTATAGATGTAAGTATTTGTCCTTTATTTAAAATCTGACTTCTTAAGGGACCAGAATTTTTTTTCATTTGAACCAGTAAAATTTTTAAATATTAACGAAGCTGATCATGTTTTAAACTTGAAAGAGTAGGGATGGGTGTTTCATATCTCCCAGATTCAAGGCAGCACGGGGAGACCTCACCAGCCCTTCTGGGATGTAACTGCAGCCATTCACACCTGCCCAGAGGGCACCTACTGTGTAGGACCGTGTTTAGAAAGGTGGGTGCTCAGTAAGACTTGTTGGTTAAAGAATGGGAGTTGAAGAGTTGCCTCTGGGGTCCCTGACCCTCAGCCCATGACTCTGACGTATGCCTCTTCTGATCCGAGCCCTGCCTGGGTATCTGGAGGAGAAAGTGACATTCTAAAGGTTCTACTCATCTCTGGTGGGTTCCACAGGCCTAGGGAATGTGGGGGGCCCTTGGACATCTTAGCACAAACCCTCTGCTCTGTGGAAATGCCCCTCCCGCAGGTTCCGAGAGGGCCCAGAACAGTGTCCTTGGCCTAGGGAGATGCCAGCCCATGCCACAGGAAGAGCTAAGTCATCTCACCATGAATTTGGCCAAAGTTATCTGTCATTTGGCTGTGATTGATGAGGCCTGCCAGGCCCACAGTGGAGATAGCCCTCTATGCAGCCGGACCTGGAATGGCTGAGACCCTGAAGAACACGCCTCCTCGCCAAGCCAAATAATGCCTTCTGCTCCCAGATTCCTCTTCTGAAGCGGGCATTGAAGACGGCCCACGTGCACTCACAAGGCTTTGGTGCCTCCTACAAAGTAAATTAGACTCTCAGGTCCCCCAGTGTGTGGTCCCAGCAGTTGTCTCCCTCTCCCACATGTCCCCATGCACCAGCCAGGCCCCTCCCTGCCTGCCTGGAGTGTTTCCTCTTGAGGTCCTGGTTTGAATGATATGGGCATTCTCTCTCCTCTGCCTCTCACTATTCCTGAGGCCAACAGGAACATGGGCTGGCTGTCTGCCTCTCTCATTAGGCAGAGGATCTGCCACCACGTATACACTCTTGCTATCGTAAGTCTCTGCCCTGTGTTCTTGGCTAGCCCAGGAGCCCCTCGAGAGCACAGCCCTGCCTTAGCCACCTGCGGCCTTGCGTGGAGGCTGGCCTCCCGCCATCTGAGGATGATCGCCATGGGTGGCAGTGGCGATGGACCGGTCAACTTGCATACCATTGCTGGTTTATTAAGACTTCTGTCTTGTCCTTCCTTTCTCTTTCTGGAGCATTAGAGCCCCCACATCCAGTGAAGGCCGTGGCTCCAAGTTATTTGCAAAGCTTAACATTGAACTTGTGTTTTACCCTTTGGCAACATGCTCATTGCCAAGAGGGACTAGTGGGGGTTGAGGGAGATGAGAGGGAGTTTGCGTTTGATTCCATGGTAATAAAACTACCTCCACCCTTCCACTTTAGCTAAACTCTTAAGTTCAATTTTTCTCCACCCACTATCTTAACTCTTAAAAGTCAACATCCTAAAGACTCTGACTCCTGTGACACTGAGAGTGTCTGTGCCATATTCAGCACATATTCCCATTCTGCAGATAAGTAAACTGAGGTTCTCACAGATTAAGTAACTCATCAAAGGTCGTACAGCTATTAAGTGGCAGAACTAAGATTGAAATCAGCTTTGCCTGGTTTTTAAGCAACAGCTTTTTCCCTGTACCTGTCACTACCCTCTGGGACTCTGGCCTCCTTTCCTTTACTGGTCATGTCCTTCTGTCTACCCAGTGATACTCTGAACATTGTGGCATCAGATCATCGGCCTTTCACCACAAAGCAGAAAGCTATGGGCAAGGAGGACTTCACCAAGATCCCGCACGGAGTGAGTGGCGTGCAGGACCGCATGAGCGTCGTCTGGGAGAGAGGAGTGGTATGTTCTCAGGGGCCCCGCCCTGCCCTGGTCCTAGGGAGTTTTCACCCTTAGGAGGTTTGGGTCAACTGCGGCTCCTCGTTTCACTCAAAAACAAAACCAAATATATCTCCCCACCCCATCCCCCATCAGAAAGGTAATAAGGCCCAGTACAGAAATTTGGAGACTACAGAAAAGTATTAGGAAAAAAAAAAATCTCCATTATTCCCTACTGAGAAATTAAACTATTAATATTTTGGTATGTTTCTTTCTAGTTCTATGCATGTCTTATACATTATTTTAATAATGGTTTTCCTCTTTTTTTTCGTATAACTATATATCTGAGTATCTTCCTGTATCAGTAAAAATTCTTTAAAAACATTTTTTAATGGCTAAATAATATTTCCTCCAATGGAAGTACCATACTTCAGTTAATACTTCCCTGGTTTGGAATTTTCAGCTGTTTCAAATTTTTGCACTTACAAATAATGCTGCAGAGAACCTCTTTGTCCATGAGTGTGTGTGTCCACATTTCTAATTATTTCCTGAGGACAGATTCCTAGAAGTTGGTATCTAGGCCAAGAGATTGAACATTTTTAAGGCTCTTGATATATTTTGTCCAATTATTTTTCAATAAAGTTAGGGACTGGGGCCTCATTTGAATACCACCTGTTCTCCCCATAAAGAATACTTATTTTTAGTCTTAACCTATCACAGATTAGATGCAGCACAGAGTTTGAGCTCCAGGAGATTTATTTGATATCTTCAAGACTAAGCCACCAGTTCAGGAAGGACCCATGAGATGGCTCAGGAATTCGCCTAAAAGAGTGTTCACTGTGCCCTCTTGGGTGGATAGGTGGGTAGGTGCTTTTCCCGAGCACAGGGTATATGTCCCTCTGTGGACGAGGGAGACTCCTGACCCATCCATATGAGCAGAGCTGGTTTTACACTCAGGAGGTAGATTTTCACCAGGTAGGCAGCCGTTTGAAACGAGGGCCCTCTCACTGTTCTTGAGCACCTGGAAGCACCTGGAACCAAGCCAAGCAGGTCAGCTCATCTGAAATGGTACCCACATCATCATCCACCTCAGCACCATTGTTCTGACCAACTAAAAGGCCACAGGCCAGGGTCAAGGGTGACTGGGGGTTAGAGGCACCCACACAGGGCCTGTTTGAACTTGACACTTCTGCAATGTTTCAGGTTGGAGGAAAGATGGATGAGAACCGTTTTGTGGCCGTCACCAGTTCCAACGCAGCGAAGATTCTCAACTTGTATCCCCGCAAGGGCCGCATCATCCCAGGGGCCGATGCCGACGTGGTGGTGTGGGACCCAGAGGCCACAAAGTAAAACCTGCTTCTAGTCTCCAGGGCTAGGGGGCTTGGGGTTTTAAGGAACTTGCATTACAGAACTCCAAAAGCATATCATCTGTGCACTACTTCTAGCATAGAGAAGTATGACCCTGACGTGTGTTCAACTCTACGAATATTTGAGGGCCTCCCACAGTCCAGGTACTGGGAACACAACAGTGAATATATCTCCATCTGCACAGCACTTTACAGTGTTTCAAAGCTGCTTCACACCAATCATCTCATTTGATTTGACTCACAACCCCAAGAAGCACCTAAGCCTAGAGTTCTTATTTCCGTTTCACTATTGTAGAAACTAAGACCAGAGAGTGGAGGGACTCCCCTCATCATGTAGCTAATAAGTGGCTGAACCGGACAGATATCCTGACACTTAGTTCCAGGCTCCTTCACCCTCTGCTTCTCTCACTGAGGCAGTGGTACCTTGAGCACACAGCGCTTGACACCCACAGCCTTAATGAACACAGCTGAGTGAACAAAATGAAGTCGGTCAGGAGCGATCCTGCCACAGGATGGAGAGCATCATTTTTACTCATCGATTGGAGCAGGGGAGATAGGAATCACTTGTTAAATATTAAATGTCACTCAGTCAACAAGTATTTGTTAAGGGCCACTGTTTGCCAGGCACTTTTTGAGGTACACAAGCTATCAGTAAACAAGACAGACAAACACATGCTGGGATGTTGAAGATAAAAAGTGGGATGGGAAAGAAAGTTCACCCTGCGGACCGCCACCCACCCTCACGCGGGGTCCCCACAGTCTTCTCCAGGAGGGCCCTTGAGAAGCCCTGTTCTGCGTCCTGAAGCCAGGGACAGGTCTCCGTCACCATTGTAGGTCTGCTTGATTCTGATTGCTGTTGGCAAAAGACCCCTAGAGTTTAGCCCAGTGCATTCATTTGCTAGGATTGCTTCAAAAAATGCCACAGACTGGAGGGCTTAAACAATAGAAATCTATTATCTCACAGTTCTGGAGGCTAAAAGCGCAAGATCAAGGTGTCAGCAGGGTTGATTTCATTCCGAAGCCTCACTCCTTGACTTATAGATGGCCACCTTCTCCCACTGTCTTCACATGGGCTTTCCTCTATGTGTCCATGTCTGGTGTCTCAATTTCCTCTTATTAGGTCACCAGTCAAATTTGGATGAGGGTCCACTCATAAGACCTCATTTTACTTAAATTAGCTCTTTGAAGGCCTTATCTCCAAATACAGGCACATTCTGATATTGGAAGTGAGGACTTCAACATATAAATTTGGGGGGGACACAATTCAGGCCACAGTAACCAGTCTTTGAGGATCATCCCTTCCCACTGAGCATCAATTTATTCTTGCTGAGCATCACCCCTCCCCATTGAGCATCACCTCTCCCCACCAAGCATCATCCCTTCCCACTGAAC